TTTCTGCCGCCAAGCTGCAATACAAGTATTACTGCGTTTTGAAGGACAACGGTAGTGGTGAAATTACAGGCAAATGGGTTTTGTCAATTTATGTCTCAGTCCCGTTATGTTGTAACGTTTTATTTATCGTTGGACAACTGTCGCGTATATCCTGTTTGCATATCACAACTATCCGTCGTGGTCGTTCATTTTATCGTTGAACGACTGTTGTGTCTAACTGTTCCCACTACGTGACGATAATTTATCACGACAGAATCGTTTGAAGCTGCGATATCGTTCTAGCTCTCAATATTGTCACGACAGTCTGTCGTCGTAACGTCAAAATAGTGAACGACAGTTAATCGTGTTGTACTATAATATGTTAACAACTTCATTTAAATATGCAAGTCACGACACTTTAAACTGCACGACTATCTGTCGTCACGACATAATGGGAACGCGCACTCAGGGTTACGGGTGCACTGGCAGTGTCCTTCAGATCTTTGCGATTTAAAGCTCAGAATGGCATTGCAACTGTCATAAAATAACATGATAAAAAAAGAGAGTTTAAAATGGAAGGTGGTCAGGTGGCGAACGCAACGTGAATGACAATAACGTCGCAATAAGTCAAGATGAGGGTAGTTGTCGATATCGATAGAGGGTACATAATATGTATGACTGTTATTGAATCTGTCACCTGCCCAGAAAATTTCCTATTTATGATTTTATTAACAATATGTTGGCGACCAGCTAAGTTTTTGCTTTTTTTTTACAATTTACATTCGGTTTATGAAATATTTTTCAAAAGTGTTTGTTTAGCAAAACTTTGGCAGTAGCTTTTGCTGTGCTGCCTTGTTCAGTTTTGAATAATATTTCAAGTTAAACGTATTTTCATCTGCATGTAAGGTGTTAGTGCACATATTTATATACAGTTCACTCGTCAACATTTTGGTCCTTGCGGCGATACGACTGCTTTTGGGAACGCTAACTGCGTGGCCGTGATGGCTTGAGCAAGCTGAGGTATAGGGTCGGACGAAAAGGGTTCAGTTTTCGTTGCCGACGACGTGTTGAGGTTTCGAACAGTTTGCATGGTTGATATTTGGTGCACAGAACCGCAATTTGTTAATAAAATCATAAATAGGAAACTTTCTGTTTGTTTTGTAGTGTTTTCTTGAAGTCAGAGTACAGTAGACAGAGTAGAGGTAAGTTCTAGTGTTACCTTGAAGTCAGAACTCGCCTCTAGGAGAACTCTGACTTCAAGAAAACACTAGGACTTACCTCACGACTCGAAGAGGACATTACCAATTTTATAACAGGCACAACTAATTAAGTCACGGTTTGTCAATTTGCCTTATAATAATATATTTCATACTCAAGTCTTGGCTCTGGCTTTGAAATGATTTTATTCAAGTACAATTAAAATCTAAGACCTAGCAGTATGGCTGCGACGTCTTTGCCTGTCTCAAAAGACGAAAATTTTACTACTACTGACGCTGTCATCTGCTGTGTGAATCAACCGTTACATGCTGTTACAAGTTTCTGTAACTATCTCATCGTACACAACGGATTTTCAACCCTGACATTGGCAGAATCACCGTGAAAATCGATGGAGCCATTATAAAGAAATTGGAATTGGAAACCTGTAACTAGTGATAATTAATATAGTGAATAACTGAGGTGTTAAAACGTATGATGTATTTGTCAGCACGCTTCAGGGCAACGCCTATAGATAAAACTAATGTTGTTCAAATTATAATTATTAATACAAAGATCGAACACTTAGAAAAAACTCCTTCGATCCGGCCGGATTTGAACCGACGTCTTCCAGCAAACCGTGTCAGACGCTATGCCAACTAAGCCACGGAAACGAACCAGCGGACCTCACGAATTTTTGTATGAGCTTGTTTGTCGGATCTTTGTACCTAGTTTTTAACGACTTTTAGCCGTAGCGCCATCTATGAGAAATTGTTTTGTTGAAATATGTTTAATTATTAGTATGTAGTTTTGTATAGGCGATTAACTAAAGCGTACTGATAAATACAGCAAAGCATTATGCACAGATAGTATCTCTCCTAAGTTACGATCGTAACTAGGCATTATTTCGGCTGCATATTTTCGGTTTAACCTGTCAAATCTTGAGTTGTAAACTCGTGGTGTTCAATCGCTTTTGAAAGCCGAGTCAGATTGTACGTCTTAAGGCTTCCCACGGCCTGTGTTTGCACGGGCCATGCCGCGCATGTGTCTGTATATTATTATGAGGATTCGGGACATATGTAGCCCCTCATCACTATGATCATCAGCTGATCTATTGTGATCACCACTAATTATAGTTTGGAGCCAAGGCCGACAGCACTGAAGAGCTTAAGGACTTTCCTGGCTCCGACAGATGTAATCTCCTCTGGTCCAGTATGGAGCTTCGTACGCCCGTTAGGGGGTACAATTCGGTGAGAAGATGAGCAGGAGTTTCATCCGCCTCGTGGCAGAGTCTATACTTTCTATGCCCAATATTTGACATATGCTTATTCAAGCCAGTGTCCTGTTAAGACTCTAGTGAGCATTCTGATGCCATTCCTGTCCAATGACAGGACGTGTAGCCAGTAAAGGCGCTTTTAAATTAGACTTTACACATTAGAAATTAGATTTGCAGCCGCGTCACTTCTATCTTCTGTCATTTTTATACAATATTTAGAGTGCAGTTGCACCGCTACTGCGTGACACTTTTGCAGACACGGAAAGTTAATTAAGAAATACTGAAATGTTGTCAAAATATTATTTGCACTGAGTCGTCTCATCGCTTCTTCTTTAGAGCCCAATAAAAAATAAGGAGTCTCGGTAACAAACGTGCCATCTGTATAGTGCAAACAACTTGTTTAAATACTTTTACGCATTGGCAGTTACTTAACTTGTTGAATTAGTAAAAAAAGAGTCGGGCGTCGGCATTTTACGTGGTACCTACTGTTAAATAAAAACGACCTGTCGAGTAAAGAAATAATTAAAAACTAGAATTCAGAGAAAGCATTTAGCGCACCTATGACTGGTGCGATGGACCACGATCGTTAAGTCCGTGTATCTTTAAGTAAAAGAAGTGTTAATGGTTTTATAACCCTATTGTAATATAAAGGATAAGCCATTCCAAGAGATAATATTCATCGGTGCAAATCACATTTCTTCAAGTATACCACAGGGCCTGTGTCAGAACAGCCATGTGTTGAAAACTTCAAAGGTATAGAGTGAGAAAATGGCAGCTTAAACCAGATAACTCGCGACACATCCGAGATTTGCCTGTAGCGCGAGCACGGCCTGCACAAATCGGCGTCGCGTGAGGCGGCCTGTGTAATCACAGGCCGTGGGAAAAATCTCCATTCCGTTAAGACAAAAATGTTATATACGGCAGTCAGCGTGGAGAGAGAAAATATATGTCTTAAGTTATTTTTCTTACCATGTTTTGTGAATATCTTCGACTGTCTGTCCACACGTAAATGTCTATAACACTGCGACAACAGACCAAAATCTACGTTCACAAAACCACACTCGTTATTTAAAATTCCACACAACTACGTCTAGTAAGACTGTCGAAGAATACTTTATTTGTGAGTTTTCACTGGTCAGTAATTTGTATACAAGTATGACACTGCCAGTATTAGTAATTAATACTTCCGAATGTAGATGTACCTTTTGCATGTGTCATATCTGCAGGGCTAAAAAAGCCTTATTGGCAGAATCATAATATGATTAATTCACAAATAGTACGAATTTCTTATAATTCATATAACGGAATTCAAATATACTTCGTTTCAATCCATTTTGAACAAAAAGTAAACAAACAAGACTCACTGACCCGACCATAGACGGTTTAGTGGTGGCCAACTGTAACTACAAATCGATTAATTAATTGAATGAATCGATTTGTTCAATTGAGTCACACTAGCGGTTTTCCTTACATAACCTATATAAGCATATTTAAAATTTCAATTTAAATCCTCCTTCAAATCCTTACACTTAGACACTCGTTTGATTGCGATTGAAATGTTCGATTTTATAATCGATTTTAAATTTTTATTGAATTGATATTCAATTATTTTTTGTGAAATTGCTCCACTAGTTATTATTAATACAAAGATGAAAAAATCTGAGAAAAAATTCCTTCGATCCGGCCGGATTCGAACCAACGTCTTCTAGCCTACCGTGCCATTGCCATGCAATTTAAGCCAGTGCACGGTAAGCTAGAAGAATAATTTATAATCTATTACTAAACTTTAATTGATTGTACCGAATGTTTTTTTTTCGAACAGCACTATGCAACCACAGGCAAGTCATAGAAGTATAGATGAATAATAACCTCAATTTTGGACTACCATTTTTCAAATACGTTTTTACGATGCTTTTCAAGTGAATATTGTTGGAAAAAGTGATGATATATCAAGTCGAAATCTTCGAAATACACGTGAAAGTGTTACTTATTCAATTTATTGAGTGATTGCTTTAGAATTTACCTAACCTAACCAAACACGTTTGTTTACTTTTTGTTCAAAATGGATTGGACTTTAGATGAATTGCGTTTTTTATTTTGTTTGAAAATTCATACATCAGTCAATTAATCATATTATTATGATTCTGCCAATACGGCTTTTCTCCTTGTACGGTTCTCTCATTAGGAGGTAGTATGAAGTCGTGTTTTAACCAAAAGGATTGCCGACCAATAGCATCTCTCGTCGTTGCGAATGTAATGAAATCTTATTGGTCGTCAATCACATCTCTTCTCCCCATCCACTTTCGTAGCTAACGGATTTAACGTTATACTTGTATGAAAGTTACTTGCTTATCGAAACTTTTTTTTATATTACATATATTAAGACGACTGTTTGATTCTTTAACAATTGATAACTTATTGCAGATTTGCACATAATCAATTAAAGGCATATTAGAAATGCCAATTTTAATAATACGTCACACCCTCAAAAATAAACTGACGTAAAAACAATTGAAACAGAAATTAATATTTTTCTTTTTTCATATCAAACAGAATTTTGCCATAAGGCATACATGACAGGTGACACGTACCTATGTCAATTTTTAATGTTTTAAAGCGCAAACCGACGGAACCATAGATACAAAAGTTGAAGTTATTACTTTCCCGAAAATTACTTTTCGGTTTTCGTCACTTTATTAATGAGTGTGCGACATGTTTGCAATACGGTATACACTATTTACGTATTTGGGGCCATTGCATTGCCATTAATGTCTCGTGAAGTGGCCCTAAGTTTACTGAGTTCATAATTTGTTTGGCCCAATGTGACATTTACACTGTAGCTGTAAAATATCGAGACTCTTTAAACGCTTCATTATAATAGATTAACACTTTACAAAGCTAAACTCACTCATTACGTTTCGACATGAAAATGTATGTCTTTACCTGATGCCACTCTAGAAATGTATGAGCGGCATTTCCTGTGACGGTCAGCATATCCTTGGTCTTTGGTCAGCTAACTCGTGGATGAGCAAGGGGGTGGTGTCGGGGAGGAAAGGCGCGGTGGGCACTGCAGGAGGGGTTGAACCGCCGGCCGGTCTGACTGCGACCACCCGCTCCAGTACGCAGGAGGCGGATAATCTCGCTTCGGCGTCGTGATCCCAACACTCTTCCATTGTGTCACATAGGACGGATAGACCCTGGAGAGACAAATTAGCAATTTGAACAGCATTGTTAGAGAGGAAAGGAATATTTCAGCAAATCATCATTCATCATCAATCATGTTCAATCAAGTTAACGGTTTTGACGGCCTCTGTGGTCGAGTGGCTTGCACACCTGTTTACATGGTGTCGCCATCTCTGAGGTCCCGGGTCCGATCCCCGGCCGGGTCATTGTAGAAAACTAACTTTTCTATTTTGTCTCGGGTCTGGGTGTTTGTAGTACCGTCGTTGTTTTCCGAATTTAAATCGCGTATATATTTTTCACCAAAAACAAACCAACGTTTCGGGTCCTTTATAGGTTCCTTGGTCACGGTTGACTGAGGTGGTACAGTCATCAACCAGTTATGTTTAATATTAATGCAAACCACCTTATTTTTTCACTATAGTTACAAAAGTTATTAATTAAATACCTTATTTAACATTCCAATTTACGCTACATTGTTTTACAAATTATTTTATTGTAACAAAATGAATTTTTATTAATCGAGTTTTTAGGTTTTCGCGATTGTTACACATAGGAAATGAAACTATTTTTCCGGATTTAAATCACGTATATTTGTTTTTTCAAACAAACCGACGTTTCAGGCACGGTTGACTGACCATGACCATGGGACCTGTAAAGGGCCCGAAACGTCGGTTTGTTTGAAAAAACAAATATACGCGATTTACATCCGGAAAAATAGTTTCATTTCCTATAATTTTTATTAAGTTAAATTTATTATGAATTAATAATGGAAAATAGAATAAATTAAAACACAATAATTAGTACTGCAGTCTTATGTCTGTTTTGAGATTTTTCATCAGAGGAAATACTGTAAAGGGCCCGAAACGTTGGTTTGTTTGAAAAAACAAATATACACGATTGAAATCCGGAAACATAGTTTCATTTCCTATATATTATTTAGTTAAGAGTCGAGCAAGAATTATGACGAATTGAGCGTATGAGGCTTGGGGCCTTACCATGAACTCTTATTACGATTCAGTTTACGACCTAAAATGAATTGTTGTGAGATAGCGCTACATGAAGTGTAATTCACTATCCCGCTTTCTTGTCGTTACGAACCTAATACTGAATTGCAATAAGAGTTCATGGTAAGGCCCCTGTATTAATAAACATTGTGTTTAAGGCCCGTATTAATAAACATTGTGTTTAAGGCCCGTATTAATAAACATTGTGCTTTTTTATGGCTCTTGTTTAAGATAAAGACAAATTAATTACATAATAAATAAATAATAAATAACGCACACACTCAACATAGCCTCGCACTAGGGAAACCCTGTGTCGCGGGTGCCATGGACACACACATAGACAACCACAAATTACACCCAAACTCACGAGAGAAATAATTGTAGGCCATACAACTATTTCTCCCGGCCCGGGAATCGAACCTGGGACCTCTGCGTGGCAGTCCGGCATGGTAACCGTTCGGCCACGGAGGCAATAATAACCTAATGTAAGTGTTAACAAGCCTTGCGCGTTTTTATAGCCGTCACTCATAAACATAGCTTGTTTAAATCCCACATTAATAAACGTTGCGCGTTTTTTAAGCCCGTATTAGTTAATAAACAGCTCTCAAATACCTGCCTGAATGGGATCCATTGTGGACCCCCATAACCGTCTTATGAATCCCTATTTTTTCGCAGACATGGACCCTTTGTAGGTTGGAGTGGGCCTCCAGGGGACAATATGAACCACTTTGAGAATAATCGGTTTAGACCAGAATGGCTCGGAAAAAATATTCATAAATACAATAAAGATTAATTTATTTTTAAAAAGCGTTTTAAATTTGGGAAAAATAAAATTCAGGGATAGAAATATATATGAATTCAAAAGAACTTAAGTTCACTACTCTGTTAATCGGGAAAGTAGTAAAATTATTTTTTATGATACCAAGTTTTGTTGCTGATTCAGCTCCTATACACATTAGCTGACGATGATTTGTTAGATAAATTACAAAAAAACAAAAAAAATGTAAAAAATATACTAATATCCTTAGGACGCAAATTCGGAACAGTGGTGCGTTCAAGGTTTGCGCGTACATTGCGCGCAAACACGTGTTATGCGGCATTTCCTGTGACGGTCAGCATATACTTGGTCTTTGGTCAGCTACTCGTGGATGAGCAAGGGGGTGGTGTCGTGTCTTGTGTTGGATGTCCAACACAAATGAACGCACTACCGTTGCGAATTTGTAGCCTTACTGAAAAACTATATGAAAAAGCTTTCGATTTTCTTTGGTATCGTAATATTTGTATGGTTTCATACATTGTTTGTCGCAGGCAGCGATCTACTTTAGCCACGTGCCGCACTTTATTTAAACACGCAATTCACACTCTATTTTCATTTAGTACGTTACCAAGTCTTTCTCTGCGTACTACCACTACAATCCATGTATGGAGTAAGGTATGGTATGTAGGTAATATTATGTCAATGATTTTGTGACATTTAATAACAAAATAAACAATCTGCATGAAAACAATCAAGCTTCGTAGTTTAATTTTAGCTGCCTCTGTGGCCGAACTGTTCGAACGGAACGGAGGTCCCAGGTCTGGCCGAACGGTTCGAACGGAACGGAGGTCCCAGGTCCGATTCCCTGGCCGGGTGAAATATTTGTATGGCCTATGTTTATTTCTCTCGTAAGTTTGGATGTAATTTATGGTTGTCTATGCGTGTGTCCATAGCACCCGCGACTCAGGGTTTTCCTTAGTGCGGGGCTATGTTGAGCGTGTGCGTTATTTTTATTGACAAACTAAAATAGAAGGGTATCTATCAGTTTAAAGGCTATCAGATTAAGCTTCGCAGAATACGTGAGCTTACCGATGTTAGTATTGTTAGACTAGTTTTATTAGTTACTTCCATAGTATAATATCCTACGGGATTCTCATGTGGGGTAAAGCGGCAGATATTCAAAATCTTATTTGTATTGCAAAAACGAGCGATTCGTTCTGTGTACCGACTAGGCTCTCGGGTTTCGCTCAGAGAAAAGTTTAAGGAGACTGGTGTCATGACTGTGGCATCACAGTACATTTATTCAAATATTTTATATGCCCGTAAAAATATATATAATTTCAATAAGAACGATGATATCCATAATATTAACCTTAGAGCCAAGTCCGAATTCATGGTACCACGATTTCGTTTAACCAAGGTCTCGCTTAAACAACTCTTGTATGGGGAACTGTATACGTTTTTACAATAAGATTCCGGAGCATATATTACAAGTTTATCATTTCCTAAGTTTAAAAACTACATTAAAAATATTTTGATCGAAAAGACATATTATTACAAAATTGAAGACTACGTGTTAGATAAAGATGTATGGAAAGACGACACGGCTCCAGAATCCACACAAATTTGATTCAAAGTGTATTCCATAGCATTTAAGTTTATTTGAAAATCCCTATCCAATCCCTAGAGTTTCTTGCTTGTTCTTCTCAGGGAAGTCATCGTAGTGAACGAGCAGTAGCTTAAATGTGACGTTTTCAAGTGTAAATTTACTTTACCTACGAATAAATGATCTTTGATTTTGACTCTTGACCTTGCATAGCCCGACAACGAGGTTGAAAAATATATTGCAATTTGTCATAATATTCCTCCATATCTACATATTTTCGATAAAAAACATTGTAAACACATATTCCAGGTTATCATCTATTTTTGGACTCAATGTTGGTTTCTATATATGCTTACCGGTACATTTAGTGATACACTAGTAAAAGCTCCAAAATAAGGCTTTTCTATAATACTGGTCGGTAATTATATTTTAACATTTTAGGAATACTTTAAAAAGAAATATTCGTCGTTTTAAATTTTCATTTCTTTTCATTTTCTATTAATACACGTTTTTTGAATGGTTGTTTTTTAGCTTTTGTAATTTTTGAAAACTTTTGTTTTTGCGAGTTTTTATTATTTATGAAACTTTCATTTTGTTACTGTAAATTGTTACAATTTTTAAATTTTAGACAGTTTCTGCTTTATCATAAATTATAAAAAAAAAACATTTTGTTTTAATTTCGAATTTTTCCAATAAAGGTTGGGGTGAGGTGAGTTAAGGCTTTACGAAGTGGACGTTAAAAGATGTTAACTTAATTGTTACTTTGTGTCTAATTATTATTTATTTAAATATAAACGTTGCCAAATTATATTCCCATTTCTTTAGTTTCGTTCGGTGTGTGCACAAAGTTGATTCATAAAGCAAATGTAGTACAACATTCATTATTAGAATCGGTCAATATGTCGTGTGGAACATGATTTTGCAACCAAAACGTTCGCGATAGTTTTTACATAACAACATTATCAATTAATTACATCCCCCTGCTACTCTTCTATAGAGGGTAGGTCATAGTCCGCCACGTGGGTTCGGGTTGGGAACTTGAAACATTGTTCAAGGGTTGTGAATAGAGATGGGTTTTTACCCGATAAATATCCGTCTAAGGATAAATATCCGTTTTTACTGAGTATTTATCCAAAAACATGGATAATTATTTTTTGTTATTTGTAATAAAATTTATTAGAATTCTTTTTTTTATTAAATAATTACGTTTTTGCCATTCTTTTATGTAACAATACTGTTCTCCTACGTTTTTCGAGTCGAGTGGTATAAAAAATTCGATTGACAAAAAGTTACCAAACTAACTGAAAACCCTAGAGCTGACCTATCCTGCGTTAATAAAGTACGACCCAACTTTATGGTCTTGGGGTCTACTGCGTACTAAATAAAGTCATGTTTGGACTTGAAATAGCCCAAGGATTCTCTTTCACATTTCATACACAAAATCTATTAATTAAAACACATGATATAAAAAAGAAATGTTTATAATTGTGTAGGTACACAAATTGTTTTAAAAATATACTTTGTTTTACTAAATATAAATAATAAACCACGATTTAAAATATTTATCCACTTTTTGGATAAATATCGAGTAAAAATGGATATTTGTCCCGAGTATTTATCCCTATGATATTTATCCATGACCGATCTTTAGTTGCGAACCTTAATGAATATACAAGTTTCACCATAAAGTTTTCTTTTACTAGCGATAGACTGTTACTACACATTAACGTTTTTTTATGATGCCATATTAACTATATGCCATATAAACTGCCTCCGTAGCCTAACGGACTGCCACGCAGAGGTCCCAGGTTCGATTCCCGGGCCGGGAGAAATAGTTGTATGGCCTACAATTATTTCTCTCGTGAGTTTGGGTGTAATTTGTGGTTGTCTATGTGTGTGTCCATGGCACCCGCGACACAGGGTTTCCCTAGTGCGGGGCTATGTTGAGTGTGTGCGTTATTTATTATTTATTTATTTATTCATATTATATTTTTTTATGATTACATATTTTATTATCTGGGGGGCACTGTTACTTCGCCTGTCACCCTAATAAGTTTACAACTCTCACATGCCCTTAATTTAACCATCGCCCTTACCCTTTAAAATCGGAACGCAGTAATGCTCACATTACTGCTTGGCGGCAGAAATAGATAATGTACATGTCAACATAGGGATTCTATCTTGTCTATGGAGAATTAACTTTTCTTTGAATGAGTTACCACGTATATGTTACGTATGTAATATATATTTTATTTACCGGATGATCTCGCCACTGTGCCGGGATATGCGGTCGCATTTTCCGTTGTACCACGGCCTCTTGCATTTCCTCTAAGCTGGGGTGCGACCCCACCTCTTCCTCCAGCGGGAGACGGTATTGAGACGCTATTTCGGCTCCTACTTCTTTGCATCTGCAAATTTAGAAACTTCATAGACACTGTCACAAATAATTAATAGATACAGGGGTTAATTTGCAGCAATCCACTTTAATAGTAAATAACAACTTTAAAAAAGAAACGATCTGAAAAGTTCGTGGAATTACGTCTATTTGCCAAGTTTTATCGAAATCGTTAACGGTAAGTGCACGAAGCGATTTCATCCCCCAATTTTGACACCCTTACAGGTGGAACATTTTCTTCAAATTGAAATGGGATCATTGCGGAGGTACCCTCTTTCCAACAAAAAATGAATTATCAAAATCGGTTCACGAATCACGAATATAAATCGCGTAACATACACATAAAAAAGTGTACACTCGAATTGAGAACCTCCTCCTTTTTTGAAGTCGGTTAAAAATAAAAGTAAATAAAGAAGGATGGCGACAGCCCGTGTATTTTGTGACCCATTGTTTTTGACGACGTGCATTAAGGAGACCTAGCAATACTTGTGATTCATTATCAAAGCATCAAAAAAGCTAATTGAGTACAGCCTGTAGAGCTGGGGTTATAAAGTTGATTATATTTATAACATTGTCCTGTATTTAGCTTCAGATATTTGTTCGTGGTAGCAGAAAACGTTTTCAGTTTGTTCCCAAAAATAATAAAAAACTTCACGAATATTCCCAAATTTGCCGCATTTAATATAACTTATGAAGTTCTACAGCACTTAAAAATGAATAAAAATTAACTCTGTCCAAATGGCAGAAATCTGCCACAAATAGTCACACTGTTCTCAATATCAATGTGACATTGACATTGATAAGAGGTCTCTTGTTAAAACATCCCTTTGCAACTTTCATTATCTCTCATTTAAATATTATCTAAATATTTTTGTCACATTGTGTTTAATTTTTGCTTTATGTCATTAATGTTTAATTGATTATTTCATTAGGTATTTTATAGTTTTAATGTTTTATATGTATGTCGAAAATATATATAATATATAATAAACATTCTGAATATAATAAGCTGCTACATGAATACTTTAAAATTATAACTATTTACCTCGAAACTATCTCCCATAAAACCAGAGCGCAAGCGTACATGTCTATCCTCAAGAACGCATCTTTTGTGAAGTTGATCGCTCCATCCAAAACTTCAGGCGCCATATATCGCCTGGTCCCAACTTGACCATGCGCGTCACCACACGCTCGACCAGGTACGAAGATAAGGGCCAAACCGAAGTCAGCAATGCAAGCGCTCATGTCAGATTTCAAAAGCACATTCTTGGATTTAAAGTCTCGATGTGCTACAGCAGGTTTTCCTCCACCCTCTTCGTGTAAATGGGCCAAACCACGAGCTACACAGGCTGCTATACGCCATGCTTCAGTCCAGGTTAGCGTGTGGGCTTTTAAATAGTCGCATAAAGAACCCTGAAAGATAACGTTATTGAATGAAGTAGTCACACTTTTTATTTAAGACTTTTTAAGAGGTGTAGTGATGTACCTTCTCATGATAGGCCGTAATTAACCAGTATTCAGCTTGCAGATTATCCCCCTTCTTGTCAACTCCAATGTAATGCAGAATGTCCGGATGTTCCATCCTTGGAAGCCTGAAGATTTCTTGCTCAGCCAGCCACGACTGTTTATCTTGCAATGGGAATACTTTGACAGCTACATCACGTTGGCCAAATTTAGCCCTCCATACTGCTCCGAATCTGCCTCTAGCTCTGACTTCACAAAGATTTAATTGACTGACGAGACCAGCTCCTTCGTTTTCCATTCCAGCGCCAGCTGAAGGAGGTCTTGATAACGACACTTCACCATTCGCTAACTCCGCAAAAGAAGTTTCTTTGCGGCGTCTGTACAAGAAGTACGAGGTCAGAACCATGAATAAGATTGTCAATGGCGTCAAAGTATAGATAATGATCGCCGTAGTATCATCCTCTGGTGTCGGTATAGGCGATGCTGGGACTTTTTCTGGAGGAGGTTCTGTAGACACGAAACTTGGGTCAAATCCAGGGAATGTGGCATTCTCGTTGCACATGTCACCTTCACAGCAGCAATGGAGTAAGGGAAGTTTGGCGTAGTGTGGCCGACAACTTGTAGGCCTATCGTTGCAGGCTACGGTATCGAGGAAGCATCCTTTCACCTTGATCACTGCTGTGTTAGTGACATTGTCATATTGCCATAGAACAAAACAGTGAGTGCTTTTATCGTTTTCGGCAGGTGGACATTCCTCTCTCTGGACAGCTGGTACACATTGCGTATCGTTGTTTGGGTCGCAGTCCACAGACTGTGAGCTGTGAAATTCACAGAATTTTGTTTTCGCAGCACCTTCTCTTGGTCGTGGTGGGAGATGCTCGTCTAAAGGTGGTGCTGCTATTGATCCGTATATACCTGGAATAGGAGAAAATAGATGTAGATTTTTCCATTACTTTAGGATTTGTCTGAATGGTATTGAGAGAACATTAAATAGGGACAACAGGGGGCCTAAAAAGGCCTTATTGGCAGAATCATATCATGATTAACAAAAAAAACAAAAATTCAGTAGAGAGGTCATAATAGTAAATTTCAAATAAAATTTCGCAAATAAATTCCGAAAAATTCCAAAGTGCGAGCCCAGATTCGAACCCACGGCCTCTGCTTGAGAGGCGGTAGGTCAAACCATTATAGGCTTCCACGCCTTCTTTATTATTATTATCATTATTGAATTAGTAAACTTGACCATCTTTCCAAAAGTGGGCCGCTTGGAGGAAATTAAATCTAGCACAATTTACATAGAAAGCAAGCATTGTCCCTACAACACTATCACTGTAATTCAAATCTCACTGTATAAATAACAAATGTACAGACGGCAGCACAAACACATCAAACAACACATTAACGGACCTTGTTCCATTTGCTGTGGAGGCTACATTTGAGCAAAACTGTATAGTTTGATGTGCTGTGGACTGTACATTTAGTCATTACAATAAAACAATAGATAAGAATAGGACTGATGACTAACAATGTAACTTCTCTTTGCATATTTTTAATGCTATATTGTTATATGTTAGACAGAATAAGGTCGCTAAGAGCCTGAGATACAACATTAAATTCAGAATAACTTTTAAATATATAAGAGTGATGGCAGCATTACTGATCTTGCACCTGGACACCCAAAGTTAGAGATAAAGTAAGTTCTACTGATTGTTAGGTACCATTTGCAACCACGCCTATGTTTATCAAGTCTAAATTTAGTTTATAAAAACATTTATAAACATGGGCGCAAATTTATCAGAATTTACAGAATGACGCTACTATAATATGGGATACTTACTAGATACATTTACGAAAGCTTTGTCATACGAATTAATGTTATCCTTAATGTCATTCACATCACGTTTTTTAATAAGATATTATCTTATGAAAAAATGTGGCATAACAGCATGAGGAATTAAAATCCTGGGGACTGTCGAGGCTTTTAAATCCTAGGACCCCACTACCACCTTATTCAAAATAGGTTCTATAATGTCCAGTTGCACGTACCAGCCCATTAGTGTTTTTATGTTTTGTCTCTGGGGCTATCATAATATAATCTTCAGACAATTCAGACATTACATCAGACATGTGATGGGCCTGGAGCACAGTATTACCATAGTATAATAAAACAAGTGTACAAAATTCTAAAATTCTAAACTATTGCAATCTATAGTTACATAGTTTATAAAGAATTACAGATTTTTAAGGATGGAAGAAAAAAATTGAGACAGTAGAACATGGTCAAATTTTATTTAAATAAATGTTTCATACAAAATTAATAACATTTTATTAGATTTAACCAACTTCTGCTATCCCAATATTTTTCATTTCATACAACGAAATGATCCTTTCATAAAACTGAGTTAATCAGCACTAAAAAAAAATTTTGATCAATTTTATTTATTTTCATGGACAACTCACCCTTAACCAAAAAATTGACTACGCCAAAATTGTTTTCACAAAAAATACTTAATGGTTCTTAGGACAGTTTCTTTATAAGTTGTTTGGTTTCGGATTTCCCCATACTGTCCCATTAAAAAAACACGGTATATTATAGCAAACTAATAAAATAAATAACACAAACACAACTATTACAATTACAACCACCACTAACCACTTCTGGGTTCTTGGAGGAAGGCAACATACTATGTAATTACGAATGTATTGTAAAAATTTATCTAAATAATAGCAGGTAGTTTTCAGGTGGAAAAAATAAAGAATTAATAAACCGGTCATATTGAGTACTTGTAGATAAAAAAGGACTAATAAAATGCAATGTGACGTTCCTGTGTTAATAAATTGATCTATTTACATTATAATTGATAAATTAAAAACATACTCAATTACACACAACATTACCAATGTTGAGATTACTTCCATGCTCCCATTTCGATACCTCCAATGAACACTATGCCAACTAAATTTTTGGACCAGTCCTGTTTGTATTTTGTTTCTTTTTTTTTTTTCACAAAATCTGTTTTTTGTTTTTTCGAATTTTGTTCTTTGTTTCTTTTATTTTTCACAAAAATCGTGGAGCATAGTATTAGTAAATAAACATGGATGTTTACAAAAATAACAGGAAATGACCAAAAAAATAAAGTTGGCGTAATGTTCATTGGAGGTATCGATTTATTGTTTACCAAATCCTTAGAGGCTCAAGAACTAATCTACATCATTAAACATATTGTTCTATATTTGACATAATCCTGAAGGCACTGCGTTTAGTTGAGTAGCAATATGTACAAATAAAAATGTACATCTTGTGTGATAGTGCTGTAACTGCCTCCATGGCCGAACGGTTACCGTGCCGGACTGCCACGCAAAGGTCCCAGGTTTGATTCCCGGGCCGGGAGAAATATTTGTATGGCCTACATTTATTTCTCTCGTGAGTTTGGCTGTAATTTGTGGTTGTCTATGTGTGTGTCCATGGCACCCGTGACACAGGGTTTTCCTAGTGCAGGACTATGTTGAGTGTGGCATTATTATTATTATTATTAGTGCGGGACAGAAAATTAACAATTTCAATTAATATCATGTGGTATCACCATATATGTTTTAAAGCCCTTCATCGTCAAGTGTTGTCAAATTAAATGCTATGCAAATATCATTATAGGACGCAACACTATACCTGGAGATTTTATATATGATATAAATTGGGTACCAAATGGATCTGGCGTATTTTAGTACAATTTGGACATATGCAATAATAAAGAATCATGTGTAGATAGCATCCACATGCAAAATAGGCACTTGGACGTTGAGTTGTGGACAACAGCACATTACACCATGTAGATAGCATATACTGAGTTCAGAATCCTCACCACACATTTGCAACCATAGTTAGGTATAGTATTTCGTTTTGGTTACTATTTACATGTAAGATTTTTCACTTGTATGTTTTGTTTTTTTATTATTATTTCCGCTAAGCTTGGGCCAGTATCAGTTTTAATGCATGTTGTGCATGGCAAATAAACAGAATTTGGAATTTAGATGGTCATTGCATGGCTAACATGTGCATTATAAAACTCTATGTACAGAATTGAAGTACCTAAACTTGAAATCAAATAGTATTCCAAGATTCCATCCCTATTCTACCATATCTATTGATATGCCCTTAAAATTACTTAAAAACGTATGGTTCATCAGTTTAGTACATAAATCGTGATACAGTAAAAACTATTGTACATCTATATAGTTGATATTACTTTACGATTGGGAAAACAATAGCACTTTGTTGTTATTAAGATACATAAATACAGATATAGAGAGTAAGAAATGAAAAAAATGTTAATCTTCGTAATATCACCTATCGAATATAAGATAACGTGAACTAATTCAAGTTTCCAAATATAGATGACCCGACTTTAAATGCCTAAGAGATTTTTTTTATTCATAAATACTTACCAATCAACAGCATTGTTACTTGTATGACACTTATGGCAGCCATGGTGAGAGACACGGGCTGGGCACAGCGCCGGTCAACCCTTTATTCCAAAAAACTTGTGGTATTTTTGTCCGCGGCCCCGACATCAAATGTCTATTTAAGAAATAACCCGTCTCAAGTACATGTCACAAACAACGCATTATTGAATAACAGCGATCAACGCTCATTCACATTCCCGCAACACTACAGAAACGTTCAAACGCAATCAACGTATGCGTTTATCCAACACAATAATATTAATTGTCATGATTTAATTTTAAAATTTAGAAACAAATGAATTTCTGCAATCACAGAAAGAAAGCTTCACTTTTTGATTTGACGTTTCTAGAGATGTCTTCATTTCACTGCTTTATTACTTACTGCTACTAGTCACTAACAGCGACTAAATATTACTTTAATTTTTTCTGTAACCTTTTTGTTTTGCTGCTTTGCGAATTGTTTCAAAAGTGCAACGTCTAGATTGTAATGTTCGTCGTTGGCATTGTTGCACTATTTGTGTATTTTGATTTTTTACTAATGTAGTTGCACGCAAAAATAAAGTAGCAGTGATATTAGCAGAATTTCTCATAAATCTTCAAAAGATTATAATCGTAAAATTCTTATCGGAGTGTCAAACATAGCGTTGAGTAATTTAATTTACATAAAATATAATATAATATATATAAAGTAAAGTAATATATATAAAGTAGTACATATATAAAGTAATTTAATATAAAATATTTGAAATAGCGGAAATTTTTAAAGAAAATTTCTGGAAACTCAATTATTATATTCTAGGTTTAGATATATTTTTTAATTTCGCATGAATTATAAAATAAATTTGTATAAACATTTTTTCATGTCCTGTTTGGCTTATTTTCACAAATTCTCATATGTAGAGTTTAGTATCTTCAGTTTTTGATAGATGTCACTGTCAAAGGTGGAAAAATATATTACGAAAAATAATCCTAATTCTAACATCATTCAATTAATAAATGATGTTAGAATTAGGAGTGGGTAATATAGCTTTTTCTGAATAACGTATCGTTTCGCGTTGATATCTACTCAGTGAATATCTGATACGAAGCAATATTGGTATATAGTTTAGAAAATATATGATTTCGTGTTGGTATCCACTCGGTAATCGCTCGGCTTGATTCGGTATCGCTATAAAATACGCGATGCGGAGCAATATCGATATATAGTTTCTAAGATACACGATATCGGATATTTGATATTGCCACAATATGTAATCTAAATACGATTTGTAAAGCCCATTCCAAGTTAGCAGAGGTGGGCGTTTAAATGAAAGCACTTAAAAAGTCTGCTTTTTAAAATAAGCGAATAAGCACGTTTTTCATTTTAAGCGTAAGCGTTGGTCACTGGTCAGTTCTATAGACACTCAATAATTTAATTTTTTACACCGTGCCTAAGTTTCAAATAGCGCCATCTATGTTTCTTAAACAAATTAAGTCAACATAACTTTGCAAGTTTTTTTAAACAAAGTGTATGCGCTTAAACGTTTTTCTAAATGACTTTTTAAGCGTCAAAGTAAAAAGCGTTTAAGTGAAAAGCGCTTTTACAAGCACACTTTAAAAAATAAGCAATTTTTTTCATTACAACGGCTAACAACTACAAAAGTTAAAAAAGTTAAACAACTTATGTTTTTAAACGCCAATTAACAAAATGTTAATATAATAATGTTATGTCATAAATAAAAATATAATTCGTTTTTTATAAAAAACTTACTTATCTTAAAACTTTTAGTGGGATACTCTTGCGTTTCGCTATCAACACAACAACGTTTCAAGTTCTTTTTAACATAAAGGTCTATGCGCTTGAACGCTTTCTAAACGATTTTGTTAGCTTCGAACTAAAAAGCGTTTAAGTGAAAAATCGTCTTGATTAAAAAAGCAAGCTTTTTTAAAAAAGCATAACGTTTAAACATTTTAAAAAACAAACAGTTTTTCCCAACTTTACTAGTTAGAACAACTAGTGTTGTATCATGGATGTTTTTCCATGACAACACTAGTTAGTATATAGTATTAGTTACACATATTCGTTTTTTTTAAATATGGCAATTGCTTAGAGTTTGTTCAGAGTTCAGCGTCAAGAACGCAAAATAAACGTCCATTCTAAAAATGTAAACATTATTGTTTTTGATTCGTTAAATTAGATTCTAGTGAATTAGAGCGACAAAAAACAATAGAAGAATGTCTTTTTTCTATTTAAAACCAGTAATAGGTGACATACCAGTGCATTTATTGGAAACAATAGTCACACAAAGATTGGGTTACCTAAAGGTTATATTTAATGACAATTCTTACGCTTACAACGAATATGTTGTGGAAGGAAGTTTGTACGATAATGTGGGCCACTTTATGCTGTGTATTGTGACAATACTAGGTGAAAATACAGGGTTTACACAATTTCTTTTGAAAGCCGAAGTAGATCTGTTTAAGCGACGAGTTTACGCGTTATCTACGTACGATTTGCGTTGCTTGGCTAAGAAACTGCTTCGTAGCATTAGGAAACTGGATAATGTACCCGAATTCATACATCCTTTACAAATATTATGCCAGCATTTAACTATAAAAAAAATTGCACACCATCTGTGCACGTCACATATCAAGGAGTGTGCGACACATTCTATCAGTTTGAATTTCAAGCATTGTCTGTCTCTTGTAGCTAAGAGACAAGTGGAACTAAAGAATGGCATTGTATCACTTCCCTGTGGTAAATGGAAGGAATATTTGACACATTTATTTCTTACAAATCTCAAATCTAGAATTAATACTACAAATTTAGAGCCACTGAAAAGTGATCCACGAATATTAGAGTTACTGTACAAATTAAAGCGAGAACTATTCCCTTTCATAACTAGAAGTAGCACAGGAATATTATTAAGTAACAAAGTTGATACAGTCTCAAAGTTCTTTCCCCCTTGTATGTTAAACTTACATCACAATCTACGCAAAAGACATAGACTGTCACACTCTCAGAGATTCTACTACAGCTTGTTTTTAAAAGACATTGGCATGCCAGTTGAAGAAGCTATAGATTTCTGGAGAGCTGAATATCGACAGAGCCCAAGTGGAAGTCATAATTGCTGTCATCATTGGGAGAAAGATGAGAAGAAGTACCTGTACGGTATACGACATATGTATGGATTGGAAGGGCGTCGAAAAAGCTATACTTCAGTTAGTTGCCAGCGTATACAGAGCTCTGATATGTCATGTAATGAAGGGGGATGTCCTTTTAAGTCTTTTGACAACCTTCAAGTGCTTCTACGTCAAAATAATCCCTCATGTACTGATACATTACTGTTTAAAATAAATGAATTGAAGAGGAAACATCAATATAGTACAGCTTGTATTTTATATCTTAAAAGTTTTCAACCTAACTGTGATAATCTTAGCTATAATTTAACACCTGTAAAGTATCACACTGTTGCAATGAAATGCGATTCTGTAGAGTTATAATTTAATCATGTAATAAAAATCGTTTATTTTTTAACAGTTGGTTCCTTAAGTTTTTTTTTCTATATTAATTTTATAGTCTATACCACCTTTTCCCTACCATTAACATATTTTTATTGTTTATATATTATTTATTTTTAGGGACATAGATAGTCATTTATTTGCTGAATCACAGTACATTCAGCAAATAAATACAAACAAGCTTATGATATAGGTACAATCAATGGTAATCATAAAGAAAAAGGGTAGTCTAGGTTTGCGGGTATGGTCTGGAAGTGTTATATTATGTAGAGTTGAGTGTACTGTGTCAACAAAAAGGGCCCGACTCAGCATTATGCCGCAGTTCAGTCGAACTACGACGCTGATGATTCTGCCAGATCCTAAAGTGAGTGGGTAAAAAAGAAGTAACTCGGAATAGAGAATCAACACGGAATTGGAATCAACACACATGACTATAGTTTGTTCATTTAATTATGTAATTATTCCTATTCATTTGATTTTCTTAATTTGTTTATTTATTTTTGTATGTGTCATCAAGTGGTACTAGCCCATTGACGTTTAGTGGCTGGTTGAATAAGTAAGTTCTGTTCTGTTTGTTAATGCATAATTACACCTTTTTCATTATAGACGTAGAGTTCGAACGGTATGCGAGACTTTTAAGGTGTGATAGTACTCATCAATACTGACTGATATGATTTTTCAACTGACTTCAAAAAAAGGTTTCTCAATTCGACCGTATATGTTTTTTTTAATGTTTGTTCGCGGATAACTTCGTCGTTTATGAACCGATTTTGATGATTCTTTTTTTATTGGTTTTTTTTTTGTTAAAAATTATTAATGGTTGTAAGTGAAAAACAACAATGAACGTTATTTTTCTCTTCTTTCAGGTGTCATTCGATCAAGTGTTATTCACATGCCACCGATGTTGGCAACGAATTAATACTGCCGAAAGGGCACAGCAGGCTGTTGGAGCTGTCGAAATCGACCATATTGTCAACGAGGATGATAATATACCAGTTCCACTTGCTATACCAGTTAATCAAAGGAACCTCGCTAGAGCATCTAATACAGCAAGTCATTGCATATTTAGAGATTGTTTAAATGAGTCAAGACTTAGAATACCCAATAGCAGAAAAGCTCACATGTTGTCTTATTACAATTTCTACATTCCTCCAAGTGCTCGTGTTTGTAATGAACACATAATGACTCACGATTGGGACCAATTGCTAAGTGGCAATGTATCTCAGGAGTTTAACGTAGATCACATACTGGATATAATTTCAATTTACAGAACAGCTCTAAAGAATCCATCGACTATGTTCGATTTTGATTTACAAACAGTAGATGAAAATGAGTTGCGACACTGGACAGGACTTACGATAATTGAATTCAATTCGTTGCTTGAACAAACGCCATCGCTGCGACAGCGGTCGAATGTACCGAATGTAGTTCTCGGGGGGTACCTTATGAAACTTCGAACAGGCGAACCTAACGTACGACTAGCATCGCTTCTAAAAATATCTCGAAGAACATTCGAACGCCAATTAGTAATAGCAAGAGAATGCTTACTGGCAGACTTCGTGCCATCGCACTTGGGATTCGATCACATTAGTAGAAACGAAGCGCTTACTAAAAATTTGTTGATACCAAGCGCGCTGTTTGGAGACGAGAATAACTCAAAACTAATATCGATTTGTGACGGGACGTACATTTATATACAGAAGAGCAGCAATTTCCTCTTTCAAAGACGTAGTTATAGTCTCCATAAATACAGGAATCTGTTGAAGCCGTTTCTCATTGTCTGTAGCAATGGTTATATCATCGACGTAACAGGCCCTTACGCGGCGACTACATCAGATGCCACGATTATGAGTAATATTCTTAACGATCATGACAATACATTTCATTGGTTTTATTTAAGTAATGACGTGTTCATTTTGGATCGTGGCTTCAGAGTCGCTCTACCTGATTTTGAAGCATGCGGCTACGATGCACACATGCCACCTAGCAAGGACAGAAACAGTCAACAGCTATCCACAGAGCAAGCGAACAAGTCGCGCTTAATTACCATAGTAAGATGGGTGGTAGAAGTAGTGAACGGAAGGTTCAAGCGCGACTTCAAGTTTTTACGGGCTGATAACTTTAACAGGGCTGTTCCGCACATGTTCGAACATTTCCGGATAGCTGCAGCACTGATCAATGCTTTTCACTTGCCAATCAGGGACAATGCGTATGCCAATGCGATAATTACTATCATAAATGAAAGAATTCATTTCGAGAATCATTTGGCTCAATATGTCATACAAAAGAATTTGAATATGCAACGAGTCGTATTTACACGCATGGCTGCCTATGTTCCTGGTTTTGAAGATATTCCTCAATTAGAAGAAGAACACCTTGTTCTAATTGCTCTGGGAACGTATCACATCAAGATAGCCAGCTCTTACTGTGCCGAACATTTAAGTGATGGGACGTATGTTATTGAATTATACAGAGATAACGAACTCGAGGATTTAAACGAATATAACATTGAAGTAGAAGAAGGGAGTTTCCTGCTGAGAGCACGTATACAATCACGTCATACAAGATCCAAGCAATACTACACATACGTGCTAATAAACAGTGGCATCGAGGGACGAGGTGCTTTCAAACACTACTATTGCACGTGTTTGACAGGACGTCGCACAATTGGGACATGTGCACATGTAATATCGATCTTGTGGTATTTATGCTGGGCTCGCCATCAAGAAGGTTTGTCGCCGCCAGCTGCCCATCTGAATAATGTCATTATAGACACTAGCATAATGTAATAATGTAATTAATTAAATATGTTTGTAATAAATCTAAGGATTTTATTTTCTCTTTTTCTAAAAATTCTGCCAGGCCCGAGTACTTTTTCATTATTTGTTATTTGTTTATTAACATATATGCCCTTACAGGGCGTTACATGATACTTGTACAATAACCAACCAACTTAAATTGTATTTTATATGTCTTACTGTAACACGCAAATAAACTATTTGACTTTGACTTTGACTATAATCTTTTTATTGGCATAGATGGCGTAGGTATTGAATAGGTAGACCAAAGTTTTGCCCATTCTCCTTTATATTTATTCTTTTAAATCATGTTACAGCGTGGTAAGCTAGAATACAAATCGTCGTTTTTGCATGGGACTACCCTAATTTACAACTAATTCTTGTCTTAAAATCAGAAGCGTTTGAATATTTTTATTTAAGTTGTAAACTAATAAGAGTCGATACTACCATCATCTTCAATTCAAATTTTTCCTGTACTAATACGGTTCATTTTGTTCTTGCCGCTCGCGGCAGAAACACTGACTGTATTTCAGAATGAATTTTGTTACAAAGGAAATTAGTCATTTGTAAAATGTATAGTATCGTATACTATACGAATTCTATTTAGTTCAGTTGATATTAAAAAAATCATTGGTAATAATATGTAATGTATTTATTGAAGAAAGAAAACCGCTGTTTTCTTGTGAAATTTCGAGGGAAGTTTGTGTTTTTTTCTATCGTGAAAATTTGCATAGATTCGTGAGATATTATGTCATCAAGGTGCCTCTGCATCGTACGTTGTACCTTATAACAAAAAATATATTTTTTTATAAAAAAATATTGATCGTTCTTTCTCATACTGGTGTGAACTCGATAATTTAGGCCGGAATTCTTTATTATAATTCTTCAAATCTGGTAAAGAATCATTTAAATTTCAAACCGCTTTGGCAAACTTCGAATTTCCCGTAGCCTTGGGTTCTCTATTCGTTGTCATGGTACTGTTTTTTTTTGACTAATTCTTTCGCCCTTCACGCAATCTGTCTTTGGAACATGCTTCCGCACCATGTGAGACAAGGTTAGATCGAATTATCTTCCAAGTTGCTCAAGCATCTGCTTGACTACGTTCAAGATCAAGACTGCACAATGTTGCTGTGGGTACAATATAATTATCTACTACTATAACAACAATTACGCATACACTAACCCCGCACTAGGGAAACGCTGTATCGCTGCCGTCCACTAACTAAAATGCAGCTAAGTGACAAATGGTCAAATATCCGTCTTAAATAGCATAAGATAAATCACAAAATTCTGAACAGTGAAAAAATTGAAAATTAGTTAATGTGTTCGACTTATCGAAACTTACCCTAACGATGCATAGCTGAAATGTCATTTTTCAAATGACAATTTTAATATTCAAAACCAGGTTGTAGTTTTTTTTAAGCGGATGGCAGATCGCGTGTACCATGGACACACAGACAACCACGAATTACACCCAAACTCACGAGAGAAATAAATGTAGGCCATACAAATATTTCTCCCGGCCCGGGAATGGAACCCGGGACCTATGCGTGGCAATCTAGCATAGTAACCGTTCAGCCACGGAGGCAGTTATTATATTATAATATACATGTACCGTCTACGTTTAATAGATGTATATATTCAGTATCTTTATGTTATATTTATTTTATACCGTATAAATTGACTGTAAAATTTTGGCTTATGGTATTTTGTAATTCTTGTTTTATGTGCAACATCAACCTATTGTGATTACAATTCCAAATCTTTGCGGTAAGTAATGTTACTTGGCCATGTGTTCTCATTTAATGCAGTAAAACTTGTTTGTTATCGAATAACAATAAAGTGTCATTAATGTGAATGTCGTTTGAGTAAAATCGAGTTTATAACATCACTGTGGACCATCCGGTAATGTTAATGTTGCAGTAATGAAGTAAGCGAAATAATCTTAATGAATCCACGATAATGATAGGTACAGGAATAGTTGACATAAAGTCTATTAATTAGATTGAATATCGTCTGTTTAAAGGTAAAAATAAAAACAAAAAGTCTTTCATTTATACAGCTATGGTAAGAAAATCACTATCTTTCTGCACGTGAAACTTAATAACCAAAAAGCTATAAACTTAATAAGAGTTTTATCTGCAGGAAGATGGTGAATTTCAATTCACCACCACACCACCACAAAATACGAGATTTTATGTGGAAAATGTCACTTATGTGGTTTACCTCTAAGCAGACAATCGATGTAATATTTTTTAACTACGCACGGCGCGCGCAGTTCCTGACGTGTTCTAGAACTCTCGTGTCTTTACAACTCTCATTAGCAGCAGCTTGATTTTGATTGCCTCTCCCGATTGGAAACTGCGTGTCTTCCGAATCGAGGCGCATAATTGCGAATCACAACTGGCCGATCGGAAACTTTGACATTTCAAATCGGAACAGTATTTGAATTAACTCACAAATTGGAAAGATATAGGTTCATCTTCTCGCTCGGAAACCCATCTGCTTTCGAGACTACCCGATCGGTTCGATTCCCATTTGAATCAAAATCAGCAAGCAGGTGTGGTTAGAGACGAGTGTCGGAAACATTCCATGAATCTCGGTAGATTCTCGGCAGATTATACTGGTGTATATTCCCGGGAATATTCAAAATTTATATATTATATATAGGAAATTTTGCCAAATGACGGGTAGATTAATTTCTATAACTTTCAATTAATAATTGTAAAGGTCATATCAATTATTGCTTTATGTGGTACAAAAGGTCTTAAATAATAATAAAAAAATTATTTCTCTCCATAAATTTTGGTTACAATTTTTTGCACAGAAACACATCTTATTTTCTAAAGTGACAAAATTTGTAGGATACTGCAATCTAAGCTATATCAGCGGCCGTAGCATGGCAGAATATGTGTGATAAACCTCCCCGTAACAATCTATGTTTTGTTAATTGCGTTTATAGCTATCTTTGTTGTTTAATCATCGCCGCGAGAACGATGAAACAAAAATTGTCTTTTCATCTCGATAAAATTACTGTCAAACTGTTTTAAAATCAGCTGTGACCATGCAGCCATGTTTGGCGCTGTGTTAATCTTTTGCAGTGATTGGTCGCTGGTGCTCGCGATGACATAAAAATGTGACGTTCCGATGCTCACTTTGTTCGCTATTGTGATAAAACTTTTGTCATTCGAATTTGAGAGCTAAATGTGGATATAATAGCTTTACCGAGACGGTATACTACGGGGGCTGAGATCTGTGTTTTAGGCTTCCAGGCTCCTCAAACTTAATGCCATTTAAATTTACACCAAATCTAACAGAGATGTAATGTAAATATGTTGTTTGTTTCATATTTTATTTTCCACATCCACGTTTTTACAATCAAATTTTCAGTATCAATGTAATTTAAAGTAATTTCAGTGACAAATTAATTTGCACTTCGCATTTGAAATGAAATTATAAACAGTTAAGGTAACATTTAACAGTTAAAATTAACAATACTTGATACAACTGTCTAACAACGCATTATGAGATTTTTATTTTCGTTTAGGTATATAGGTACGGAAGTTTGAAAATTGTAAGCCTAAACATGGCCTCAACATTCTAACTGTATCAAATAAGTACATATTAACCATTGACTTTTATTAACAATAAAAACATAAATACCCGAATAAATAGCCATCGGGTGGAATCAATGGGATGTTCTCGGATAATTTCCCATTTTAGGTAATTACTCGGGTAGAATCCCACCACTAGGTGTGGTGCACGAAAAGAGCCCCCACGAAGTACTTCCTCAGTACACTGAAAATATTTTTACGATGAAACGTTTGGATATGATATCTATACGATAAGAAGTAGGGTGTACAAATACCTGATAACTATTTAAATCACGACACATTTCTTGTGAGTTTAGTTGCAGTAGAGCTCCTTGTGAAAGAGTTCGTCCAGGAAAGTCTGGTTTTGAAGGGTAAGGGTGCTGGTGAAATTACAGGCACATGGCACTTATCAACTTATGTCTAAGGGTGTCGGGCGCAGTGGCAGTGCCCCTCACATCTTTGCGATTTAAAGCTCTGAGTGGCCACCAGGCGCTTGACTTGTTCGTCCCCGCACTTGTTATCATAAAATAGAGTTAAAGTTTAAAAAAAACAATTGTAAGTAATAAAATTGTATCGTCTTGTAACTAAGGCGTCTATGCCAGATCTTAGATTAAATTTTTCAGTAATTAGCAAATCCGTGTGTATGTCGTGGTAGCCAATTGTATTGACTTGTATTGACAGAAACCGTGGGTTCGAATCCGAGCCAAACCTCTGAGTTTCTCTGAATTTATCTGCGAAATTAAATTTGAAATTTACTTTAGCTTTTCAATTAAGTACAACATCGTGCTGAAACTTGCACGTTGAAGAAGGTTCATAACCCTCGGAAATCGTGTGAAGTCAACCCGTATTGGGCCAGTGTGGGGGACTATGGCCTAAACCCTCGAGATCCGTGCCCAGCAGTAGGACGTATGTATGAATCACCACGCGCAAGATTGAGTTAAAAAATGCAGCAAAAGACGTAACAGAATACGTAATAAATCTACTCATCCGATGCATCCATAGAACAAAGGGCTATGTGCAAGAGTGCTTATTCTCAGAAAATTCTACATTTCGTTCGTTGGTCTTCGCTGTGGATATGAGATCGACCGGTGTTCGATTTTATATGTCCGAAACGAAATAAGATATAGAAATTATGAACAAAAAACACCTATAGATAGGCCTTCTTTGAAATAAGGAAATTATGTATTTATCACATTTTCGTTGTATAATCACATCCAGACTGTGTTCTTCGGATGAGTCGAAATGTATACACATGTAGGTATATAACGATCTATTACAAGTACGCCGGCACGCTATGATGGCCATTTTGACTGATTACAATAGTGAGGTCAAATCCCAATTCATTATCAAAAAAAATATAATCAAATGCGAGTCGCATCTATAAGTTTTTAGATTAAAAACTAGTATTCCAAGGGGTAGCTATTTAAAAAGTTTTAATAAAACGAAAATAAAAATGTTTACTTAATATTA